GAGCTGGAGTCCGAGGCCAGTCCAGGCCTCTCAGATGGCTCTCAGGCAGGGAGGGGGCTGCAGAGGACCCTTCCATAGCCCGGCAAGTGGGTGCTCCGGGCCCTGCTTCTGCACTGGTGGAAAAGCCTGGAAAGGAGAGCCACCTCCCAAGAAACACCAGGCCTCTTGGCCTGCAGCCGCCCAGGTTGACCCTGTGTCCTACGGTGGGCTGGACCCGTGTGGCTGCCAACACTGGCCTCTGTTTGCTTTTCAGCACTGTGCCCGAGACATAGCCCCCTGGACCCAACGCCCCACACGCTGGTGCAGCCCATCTCTGCCATGCTGGCATCTGCCCCTGCCAGCTGCCCACATTGCCAGCACGAGACAGGCCAGCAGCCTTCGGGCCCAGGCAGCACCAATTCCGGCCAGGAGGGCTCAGGCTCCGGTGGCTCCAGTGGTGAGGAGGCCGAGGCCGATGGCGATGGGCCCCGGAGCAGCGAGGATGTGTCCTCAGGCCTGGGGAAGGAAGACGAGGAGGAACGGGCCGACGGGGCTGTCCGGCTGTGTGGGGACGTGTGGCGGGAGACACGAGCCAAGCTGCGGGGCATCGTGGACAGCAAGTACTTCAACCGGGGCATCATGATGGCCATCCTGGTGAACACCGTCAGCATGGGCATCGAGCACCACGAGCAGGCCAGTGCTGCAGGGCGCCGGCTTGGGTGGGCTGGCATGGGATGGGCATGGAGGGGCCCAGGCTGGGCCACCCCATGCGTCTGTCTGTCTGCCTGTTCCCAGCTGGAGCTGGGTTTAACTCATCCTGACCTCAGCATCTAGCCCAGAGCTGTGCTCAGAGGAGTCACTGATCCACAGCCCCACAGGCAGCCTGGGGCCTGGTGTGAGGCCACCTCCACCTGTGGCATGACTGACACCCAGGCCGGGTTCGGATTCCCTTGTCTCCTTGGCTTCCCTGCCAGGCCCTATGGCGCCCGCCTGGTGGGGGCCACACTCTCATCTCCCTGCTCATTAGCTCACCAAAGCACGGGCCCCATTCAGTTTACTTAAATGTAGCCCCTGGGACGGCCACAGACACTTTGGTTGGAGCTGCTGGTTTGCCAGACTTCGCAGCTTAATTAAAAAGGTCCCTGGGCAGGGCTGCAGGGAGGTGCGTGGCGGGTGAAGCCACAGAGACTGGAGGCCCAGACCCTCTCCTCCCCAGCCTCTGGCTTCCTGGCCTGGGTCTTCCAGGTAGCAATAGACCTAGGGCGTCTGCACCCCTGGAGAAGGCCCCTGGGAAGCAGCTTGCTGTTGGGGTGCTGGCTTGAGCATCTGAACCCCACTACATCAGGGCTGAGCCATCTCCCTGCCGGTGGTGTGCTGGAACCAGCTGGTGACAACCAGTTGTCTCACATTCAGGAATTTTGCAAGTGCTTATTAAACAGCTGGCAGCTTGAAATTGGCTGTGGAAGAAGGATTTACACCATGGAAATTGGTAGATCTTACAAATCAGGGCTGTTTTTCAGAGGCTGGTTTGCCAGCACACTGCTCATCCCTGCCTTCTTGCATTCCCTCCAAGGTGACCATGACCAGGGCAGCTCCCCCAGTGCCCTCCGGCCTGAGGGTTGCCAGCCCAAGCCTCTCCAGGGTCCCCTGTCGACCCTACCACATGCCACCTGAGTAAGCCTTCTAACCCAGAATCTGACAGAGCCTCTGGGCAGCAGACACCACGTGGCCCTGAAGTTGGCTCCTACTCTGGCCTCACCAGGTCTGGAGAGGGTCCTGCCCAGTCTTAGGGCCCACCCTCATATCCTCACTCCTTCTTAGGGATGGGCTGCCGCTTACTGAACCCTTGCTGAGTGCCAGCCTGAGCCAGCCTGGCACCCAAGTCCTTACAGCCTCTCTCCAAGCAGGTGTTGTCTTGGTTACTTTTCTACCACTGAGACAAAATACCCAAAACCCACAGCTTAAAGGTCAAGAGGGTTATTTTGGCCGGTGGTTTCAGAAGGTTCAGTCCAGGGTTGACTGGCTCCAAGGCAGCAGTGCCGTGTCGGAAGGGTCTGGTGAAGGAAAGATGCTCAACCCACGGCAGCCAGGAAGCAGAGAGAGGAGGGAGGAGCCAAGGACGAGAATTCACCCTTGCAAGTCATCTACCTCCTCCAGCCAAGCCCCAGCCCCTAATAGCACATTCAGCTCTGTACGCATCAGTGGGTGAATCCATGGTCCAGTTTCCTTCAAAAGCCTTACCTCTGGGCACATGAAACATTGGGGGTGCATTTTAGATCTGAACTATAACAAATGTCATCTCCTCCTGTCCCACGCACTTGGAAGGCCATGGCTCAGAGAGGCCAAGCCCCTTGCCCAGGGTCTGGGTTCCAACCCTGATTCTGTTGACAGGGAAGGAGGCCCCAGGCAAGTCCCTGTGCATCCCTCAGCTGGCATCTCCATCTGTAAATGGGCCCGTGACACACATGGGTAAATTTGTTCAGCCTGGTGTGTAGTAGGTGCTCATGAATCAGTCATGGCTTGTGAGTCTTTTGTCTGAGCCTTCTACCATCAGCCCTGGGTGAGTTTACCATCCGGAGTCTGGAGCCTCAAAAAAAATTAATTAAAGAAAAAAATGAGGAGGAGGAGGCATTTTTAAAGTGTTCTTTTTAAAGCAGCTCCAAGTGGCAGCCATTGTGCAGCTGAGCTCCGTGCCGGGCCTGCCCCTAGGCCTGCTGGTATTTTTGCTTCTCTCCCTTGGCTCTCAGACATTGCTCTGGCGGGAAACAACCCGCCTCCAAGTTTATTCTAAGCAGCCCCTGCTGAGGTGGTTCCTGCAGAGAGGGGTGGCCCAGGGCTACAGAGGGAGACAAAGGAGAGGAGAAGAAGGCAAGTGAACCAGCCACCCCTTGCCTGGCCACACCCCACACCCCACATGGGCTGGCAGGACCTCTCGCACCACTCTTGTGGGGGACAGGGTGAGCTCATGGCATCAGTAAAGTGGGGCTGGTCACTTGTGTCTGCCTGGCCGTGGAAGCTCAACTGTGAGTCTTTGGGCAGTCATCGCTACCCAGGAGACGGGGGCTGTCACTGGAACTAACCTGCCTGCCCAGGGTCCCCGGCCCTGGAGGTGCTGTTCCTCGCAGGAGCTGGATGGAAGCGAGTGCCGGGGAAGGGGTCGGGTGTCAGCCAGGCAGGCCCTGTTTGCGAGGCGGGGGTCCCCTGGCATTCCATTGCTGTGTGGCTGGCAGGAGGGTCAGGTTGGCCTTGGCAGCTAGTTCTTCCCTCATCACCTGCTGTCAGGCACGGCTCTGCCTTGTGTGTAGCCCTGCGGGGCAGGCAGGGTGGGTGACTCGCCCCCCTGGCCAGATGGGGAAACTGAGGTCTGCAAAGTGAAATGGGCTGCCCAGGTGAGCAGCTGGTAGAGCTGCTGGGGCAGCTGTGGATGGCTGCACTAGAAGTGGGGGATAGGTCAGGACAACACTGCTCCCTGGACAGTCTCTGCTTCAACTTCCCCGCTCCCAGCACACCCCAGCCATGGCTCCTCACTGGCTGGGCAGGGCCAACTGCAGCCTCACCTGGAGTCAGGGGGTGGTCAAGGTGGTAGACAAGAGACGGGGCTGGGCTCAGTGGACAACAGGGCAGGGAGCAAGGAGCCTCCCTGGGGTAGGGCTGAGCTGGGCCAGAGCATGGCCACTGTCCCCAGCTGCAGAAGACTGCATTCTGTATCTGCAAGTGGCCTGAAGCCCACTTTAGGCTCCTTTCACCAGGGCCTAAGTTTCTGCCGACCCAGTCTAGGGTGACTCTGGGAAGAGGAGCATGGGTGGTTAGTGGCTGACATTCCAGCCTGTGGGAGCCCAAGGGAGAGAGGCACCAATACGGGGTGTGGCCAGGGAAGGCTTCCAGGAGGTGGTGGCACTGGGGCTGGATCCTGATGGATTACTGTGAATTCACCAGTGAGACAGGCAGGCACTGGGGCCAGGAGTGTAGGGACCCCCCAGGCCCTGAGCAAGACGGGTGTGCTGGGCAGGCGGCACAGGGGGCCCAGCATGGCTGCTCCTCCACCAAGGCTGGCTTTATCCTTAGGGCAATGGGGAGCCATGGAGCGCTTGATAGCAGGGGAGTGAGCTAGATTGGTGCCTTGCTGGCAAAATGGGCAGTTAAAGGGGCTACGGGGATGGGGTTGGGGTTGCAGGAGGAGACCTGGGCCTGAGATCCAGCTCTGCTACTGCGTGGCCACAGCCCAGGACGCTGACAGCCACTCTTCTCCGAGCCTCGGGCTCCCTGTCCGTAAAATGAGACAAGATCAGGTGGTTGCAGGCTTGGATGAGACGATGCATGACGAGTGCTGGGCTGGGCAGAGGGGCCCCTGGGTGTGCTTGGAGACCCTGCTCAGCCTTACCTCTGTCCTGCAGAGTGGCTAGTGGCGGTGCTTTCTGGGCCCACCATGCTGGCGTCAGACAGGGGCGTTGGCCCTGCCCTCTGCCCTCCCACCTCTGGCTTAGCCTGGAGTTTTCTGTCCTTCACACCTGCTCTTCACCTGGCGGGTCTTTGCCATCTCCGGTGGACTCTCCACTGTCTGCCTTCCTGCCTGTTCTTTTTGTGTCACTCATGTTCTGGCTTCACCGTGTCCAGAGTTGTCTGTGTGTCTGTCCATCTCTCTTCCTAGGCTGCCTCTGGCCACCTCGCTCATTGCTGCCTGTCTCCCCATGCCTCCCTCCCCAGCCTGTCCCTTGCTGTGTCTATATGCATCTGTCTGTCTTCCTCCAGCCTGTCTTGCTCCCAGAAAAAATGCTCTCGCGAGTGATAGATGGTCCATTAGGAAAAGATTAACAGGTGTGCGCTGCCTGGAGAAACAGCTGTTGCAGGGGAGGAGGGAGGAGCGGGTGACCTTTCGGGGAGAGCAGCGGCCCTGCGCCGATCGCTGAGCGAGGAAGCATGTGCGCCGCGTGTGTGGCGCAGAGCCAGGCGATCGCCATCACCAACTGTCAGCGTCCACCGTTTGCATCTCCGTGGACGCGCTTTGGGTGGGCTGGGAAGCTGGCAGCTCAGAACAGCGTCTGAGCCCTCCCCGCTGAGGCCCCTCTCGGGGTCCCGCTCCCTTCTGGGAGCACTTTGTGAGTCAAATGTAATTACAGATGGAAATAGGGCTTTCTCCTTTTATCTGGCTTGAGAGGAGCTGGAAGTTTTATTAGATTTCCCAGGCACTATGTGGGAAGCTGGTGGTTGGGTTATTTTATTTTTCCTTCTCCTTTTAAATCACATGGAATCAAAGTCAGGCCTCTGAGGCTCCCTGTCTCTCAGTGGAGGGTCTGGAGGGTGCTGATGGATAGGAGATGGCCTGCCGTGATCCCCTTCTCTCTTCCCTGCTGTCGGCTCTCTTCTTAGTTTCGAGGTCTAAGATGTTCCTTCTTCCGGGAGTCCTTCAGGCCCACTGCCACTGTCCCCCAAAGCACCCTGAGCTTCCCTGGTATGGGCAGGCACTGGCTGGCTCGTTAGTGTGGTCGGTGGGACTCTGCCACCCAAAGGTGAACTTCTCCATCGCAACTGCCAGCACACGGCAGGTGCTCGGGAGATCTGTGGAAATCCCGCAGGAATGAATGAATGTGCGGATGCATGAGCTGGGGTGCAGTTTCAGGCGTGATGTGATGGGACAGCACTTTGGAGTCTAGTGTGGATCAGTGCCCCGCCCTGTACACGCTTTGTTGGGCCCCCAGGGAGCTGCAGAGGGGAGACAGGGACAAGTCCCGTGGGGCCTTAGTGGGGACTGGGAATGGACGTGGCCACATGTCCACCCTGGATTGATGGTAAGGAGATGAAGGCTCAGAGGTGGGGAAAGTGACTCGCCTGGGCTCACACAGCCACGTAACATCCAGATCAGTCCTGGAGCCTCCTCTCCCTGTCATGGCTGATAGTGCGGCCTGGTTCCAACAGCTCAAGGGGCAGAGAGAGGTCTGTGGCTGGGTTGGGCAAGGGGAGCTGGTGTCTCCTTGACTAGTTGGTGACTTCGGGGGTATCCCCGTGTTCTCTGTGGGGCTTTGCATCCTCTTTGAGCACCACTGTGAGGCCTGTGTTGGGCTCTACCCGGTGTTTGTCCTCCATCCCTGGGCTCAGTGGGGGATGGCTGGACCACCTGTGAAATGGGTGCTGTGCAGACGTGTGGGCAGTCAGCCCTTGCACCCTGGGGGCCTCTCGGGACACCAAAGTGGCAGAGATGAGAGGTGCTCAAGGTCATAGACTGAGCTCTAGGGAGGACACGGACCTGCAAGGGTCACAGACCCCCACCTACCCCCTTGCAGCCTGAGGAGCTGACCAACATCCTGGAGATCTGCAACGTGGTCTTTACCAGCATGTTTGCCCTGGAGATGATCCTGAAGCTGGCTGCTTTTGGGCTCTTCGATTATCTGCGGAACCCGTACAACATCTTCGACAGCATCATCGTCATCATCAGGTACCGGCCCCACCTCCTGCCTGCAGTGAGGAGGGGGATTTAATGCCCTGACCCTGGCCAGGACTTCAGTATGTGAGATGGGAGATGGCAGAGGAGACCAATTACACTGAAGCACAGTTATGCAAATATTTTAGATATTCATGATTTAGAAATATATGCGCTTTCAGATCAGTCATTAAACAGCAAGAGGTAGCAGTGGGTCTGAAATGACCATCATTCCAAGGAAGGATGTGCATAAGAAATATTTCAGAGTATCTCCACCCACTGTTCTATGACAGGAAGGTATCAGTTGCCCTCAAAGCCAGAGGTGTAGCTAATTCTCTGTGGTTTATTATTTACATTCATGATCAAGAGAAATATTATATCTCATAAAGAGGACAGTGGTATTCCTGGGCTTCCTAGGTTTTTGATACAGCCTTTTAGTGGGCTTCATGGATCCTGGGTTATGGTCCTGACTTGGGGGTGCCACAGACCATCATTCAATACATTACTTGTTGGATGGGTGAATGAATGAAAGAATGAGTGAACTGCAGCGTCTGTCTCTGTCCTCCCCTTCCTCCTCTGCCCTCCTCTCCTCTTGGCCTCCCACTGCCCCCTTCTGCCTCCCCCTGCACCTGCAGCATCTGGGAGATCGTGGGGCAGGCGGACGGCGGGCTGTCGGTGCTGCGCACCTTCCGGCTACTGCGGGTGCTGAAGCTGGTGCGGTTCATGCCTGCGCTGCGGCGCCAGCTGGTGGTGCTCATGAAGACCATGGACAACGTGGCCACCTTCTGCATGCTGCTCATGCTCTTCATCTTCATCTTCAGGTGAGCCCTGCTCGCCCCGGGGACCAGCCCTGCCAGTGTGGCTGGTTGCGCCTCTCCGGGACAGAGCTGCCTGGATGTAGGCGTGAATCCTGGCACCGCAGTTCAATCCCTGTGGCTCTGGGCAGGTCCTGCTCCCTGAACCTCAGTGTTCACCTCTGTAAAGTGGGACCAATGCTGCCTCTGCCCCAGCTGTCTTGAGAAGGAAACAGGTGGGTGGGCGGAGCTGGGCGTGTGCCAGCCCCTTGAGCTACCTCCGTCCCTCCCCCAGCATCCTTGGGATGCACATCTTTGGCTGCAAATTCAGCCTCCGCACGGACACGGGAGACACGGTCCCCGACAGGAAGAACTTCGACTCCCTGCTCTGGGCCATCGTCACGGTGTTCCAGGTGAGTGGTAGCAGTGTGTCTGTGTGTTTCAGGGGAATCGGTCCCGGGCAGCGGGACTATCCACCTCAGCCCCTCCCCGTGGACAGACGGGGCTCAGAGGCTGGGCCTGAGCTGGGGGATCCCAGGGTCGACTGTGTCCCCCTCCACAGATCCTCACCCAGGAGGACTGGAACGTCGTCCTCTACAACGGCATGGCCTCCACTTCCCCTTGGGCATCCCTGTACTTCGTTGCCCTCATGACCTTTGGCAACTATGTGCTCTTCAACTTGCTGGTGGCCATACTGGTGGAGGGCTTCCAGGCTGAGGTGACCGCAGCTCTGGGAGGAGTGTCTCCACAGGGCCTGCAAGACATGGGGCTGGGGAGAGGGGCTCTGGCTGTGGGACAATTCAATCTAGCAGGCAATACATGCCCAAAGGAGGGCACCAATGAGGTGGTAAGCTTCTCATCACAGGAAGCATGTAAACAGAGGCTGCATCTGGAATCCTCAGCTCTCCCCAAGGGGTGAAGGACTAGACATCTCCATCCCTGAGATTTGAAGCCCCCAAGATCTGGGATTCTGGGTCCTGCTTCCTCTATTCTTTTGCAGGGGTGGTCCTTACAATCAGGCAGGTAGGAGTTTGTAGCCTAGGTCCTCATTAACTTCTGAGCCTCAGTTTTCCCATCTGTAAAACAGGAATGGAAAAACACCATTGAAAAATTGAGGTGGCAGGGAGGGAGGAAAGGTGGGAAGGGCTGAGCTGACCTGTGTCCCAACATGGGTCCATTTCTCAGGGTGATGCCAACCGTTCCTACTCAGATGAGGACCAGAGCTCATCCAACATGGAGGAGTTGGACAAACTCCAGGAGGGCCTGGACATCAGCGGAGGTAAACAGGCCTCCACTTGCCACCCGGGGGCCAGGAGCCTTCCCTAGAGATCCAGGTGGGCACAGGGCAGAGCACTGGCTTCCCCCTCCAGCCCAGGCTCGAGCTGGCTACTAATTCGTTATGGCTGGTTGCTCATGTCTGTAATGGGCAGGACATTCACAGACATCCTGGGATCCAGCCACAGATGTAGCAGCAGCCTACCTGCTTCTCTTCCCCGGGTTAGGAACCCCTGTTGGTTAGGATGGGGCCCATGGTCTGGTCCTTCCTGGCATCACCGGGCCGTGTGGGACAAGCCTTTCTTGCTCCGAGCAGTCTCTGCCTTGCTTCCTGCGGAGGGCGTGGTAGTGAGGTGCCTGTGCTGGCGGCAGTGGCAGGCTGGCCTGAACACCGCTGCCAGGGGTTCTGTGCACACTTAAGCAAAGAGCCCTGCAGGCAGGGTGGAGGGGAGCCACCGAGATGGGGTGCACCCGAAGAGCCACTCCAGCAAAGCTCTGCTTCTGTTACGTCCACATCTGTTTCTTTGTCTCATGGCTTCCTTTGCTCTTGTTCTGTTTGTCTATCTGCTGTCTGTCCCTCTGTCTCCACCTCACTCCTCCAGATCTCAAGCTCTGCCCAATCCCCATGACCCCCAATGGGCACTTGGACCCCAGTCTCCCACTGGGTGGGCATCTGGGCCCCTCCGGGGCTGCAGACCCTGCTGCCCGCCTCTCCCTGCAGCCAGACCCCATGCTTGTGGCCCTGGACTCCCGCAAGAGCAGCGTCATGTCACTGGGGAGGATGAGCTACGATCAGCGCTCCCTGGTGAGTCCTGTGGGGTGCTCAGGATGGGTGCTCCTTCTGGGGGGAAGGGAGACACCTGCGTCACTAGACCGTCTGGCCCAAACCGGGCAGGGATCCTATCTGTCCCATTCCTGGGTGTCCAGTGCCAGAGTAGAACCCGCAAGGAAAGAATGAATGAACATTGCCAGAGAGAAGTGGGTTTTCAGGTTAGCAGCAATGTGGAGGGTACAGACTTTGGGGTCAGACACATCAGAACTTGCATCCGGCTTACCTCACCTCTAAGTTGTGTGACCATGAGCAAATGACTACTTTTCTTTGAGCCTCAGCTTCCTTACCTGTAAAATAGAGCGAT